TATTATACCTCTATGATTGGAAGAAATATAGTATTGCGACACGTGCATAGAATTTGACAAAGTGGGGGGGGGGCGTGGCGCTACCTAAAATTCTGCTGCGCTACCTAGTTTTTGCCCTAGGTAGCACACTGTGCTACTTTGCTCAAAAAAGTATTTCGAACACTGCGTTAATCAACAGTCCATACCGAACCAACCGTCAGTAGCCATCAAACCGGCATACAAACATATTACGCACATAACTTCCATACTACACACAAACAAATAACCTAAACCAATAGAAAAAAAAACCCGGAGGTTTGAAATCTACGATTTCCCTTGTTAGATGTATTATGAACTAGAAATTTAACATTTGCGAAACATATGCATAATGCTTACATTCAGGTGGTCTATCTCAACAAACTTTTGCTCTATTTGTTCTTACTCAAACAGCCATATTGAATATGTATGGTGACCAGTCCCTCCAACTTAGCCTGCGTGCCATCCGATTTGTAACGGCAACCCCGAAAGAATCATTTTTCGGGGTTGCCGTTACAAATCATTACAAAAAAGAAAATCCCGATAAAAAAAGCCTAAAACACGCCAAAAATAAACCAAAGCCAAAACCTATGCCTGGAGAGTAGATCGTATGAGCCTTGTTTTAAGGTGAAAATTGAAGTAAATAAAAGTCTTACATATGTAGGGTGTGTCAGGTGGGAACTTGGACAGTAGCCATGGTTTATTGTACACGAAGTGATGCATCTGCGCGTCGTACTGTTCGTCCGGCTGGTGGACGTAGTCCTGCTCTCTCGGCGGGAAGGGCCAGCTGAGCGGGCCCTGTCCCACCGGCATCAGGACCTAAAACATCAGCATTCAGTCACACATACGTCACCAGGCTAGTCACTATTTGGAATAAGTCAGGCTCTGACCTCCGTGGTACTGGTGAGCGAGCAGCTCATTTAAACACAAACTACTCAAGGCCACCTACAACAGATTTCACACACATTACAGTCTTGACCTGCCATGTACTTGGACCACTTCTTGTGGGTGTAGTTCTTGTATTGCTTCTATAGACCTCACTAAGTCTTGTTTCAACACAATTTATACTACTTATTACATGTAGATATATTTCAATTATGCTTAACCTTCTATATTGATTGCCTATTCTGTGTATTTCTATACTTGTTGTCATCGACTATGTAAATTTTGATGTTGTATATGTGGTTTTGTATGGGGGAGGGCAACTTGTAAATGTGCGTATGTACCTGTTTTGCCCTCCCTTTCACTTTGTGAAATATCAAAATAAACAAATAAACAAATACCCGCAGTCTGTTGTAGATCGCGTACCGCTGGAAGATGTTGATGGTGGTACAACTCCCCGTCTTGTGGGTCTTGATAAACACGAATTTCTTTCGCGGAGTGCAGGTACCTGGGGTGGTGTGGTTTACTTGGCCTGGACTAAAGCTTCGAAACTCCTCGGCCCTGTAAAAAAATTATTTATCTCCAGATTTAAGGTACAAATAGACATGGGAATGGTATGAAAGAGATCTAAAATGTATTCCCCGACGACAAGAATGGACCAAAATATCTGGAATACAGTGAGAATTTCTAGAATGAACTTCAAATATCCAGGATCGTGTGGACAGGACAGAGCGTTCGGCTCGGAAGCAAGAGGTCCCGAGTTCGAATCCTGCCATGCCACCAATCTTGTGCCTTTGGAAAAGGCGCTTTACACGAATTTCCTCACTTTACTCAGGTGAAAATAAGTATGCCTGTTGTCCATTCTAGCGTTTGTCTGCGTTGGTGGCGGCATAAAATTAAATTGAAAAAAAATGAGTGTGCCCTCACCATTTGTTGTAATGAATGTTGGAATATACAATAAATTTTCACTCAGACGGCATTCCGGCTCTATCCGCCTCTATTGCAATAATAAAGCAGCTGTCGGTAAGTCGTAAACGATTGCGATACAAAAAGTAATATTTAAGGTTCAGGTTACCTGTTAAGGATCTTGGGAGGTGGAAGTTGGGCTTCATGCACGGTTTCGAACATTCTTTTATAATTAAATGCCGCATACACAAGGGCAGCTACGGCCACAAACTTGAACGCTAATGCTATCCTGGCTGTTTTCCTCATCATTGCCGACTCTATAAACACAAAAATTGATCATTGTTTTTTATTTATTTATTTATTTATTTATTACGATTGACCACATACTTGATATACTGGTGGCATTGTGGAACAGGTGCACCTAAGTGCACCTTTTAAGGCCACCATGCCCACAAAGAAATAGAAAATGTGCATAAAAATTGTTAAATTATCCTCGTTATTCCACCTAACAGAGATCTAATTGACATATTTGTATTGCATGAGCTAACACACACAGTTCTTCTAGTCGTAATTTTTTAACAGTTGTAGGTAGGTGTATGTATAATTATTGTGTTCTATGTAGTCTTCCGAATGTATCTGCAATGTTTAACTTCATTATGTGCAATAGTATAAACTTTTGGATTTTAAAAATAAAATGTACATTATATTGATTCGCAATTCAGTAACTTGTACTTAAAGTTTACGGCGAATGATCAATAGATAATTCTTGAGTCATGAGTTGGGGGGGGGCAGAGACCGTTGATTATGGAAATAAGGTTGCAATTAACATAATGTAGTCAATTTATGACTTTCGCAAATCTATGGCAATCAGATACATATTCATGTACAGATACAGATCCATGTACAGGTATCTGATACAGATTTTTCCGAGTAGGATGACCGTGTCAGTCCCTACACCTGAGTGAGGGTCACAGTTGACACGGTGGCCTTCGCGTGGATTTGTTTAAGCTGGATACCAGGTTGCGAATCTGAGTCCCATTTCTACCAAATGCCGTTGTCCCCCCCCCCCCCCCCCCCTCCAGAGCTGAGACCAGCTCAGGTGAACATACCGTGACTCTGGATCCAACCGCAGGTTTGAAGTTCATAGGTCAACTCACACGCTTCGCCAGCACAAACAGACTCGAGCATAATGGCGGGTACGTATATCTACCCTTGGTTCTTTCTGTTTCATACCAAGCAAACTATGAGGCAAATAATAGATGCACACCAGAGTGTAGTGTTTTAGGACATAGTACATTGTATTTTAGTGTTTTAGGGATTTAGTGTTTTACGTTTACTAGACCATGTGTATGTATGCGGTTCCCTGTGCATTACGTCCTTGAGCTTTGACCACGAATGGGCAATAGACATTATCATACAGTATGTTGTCTATATGCCATAAGAAAAATAGCGCATAAAAGCTCCCAAAGACCCCGAAGACCCCCCAAACCCCCATTTTTTGGCACGCTGTGGAGGCTACCATATATTACACATCAACTGAAACGGCCGTGGGCCTGCTAATGCGTAACCACACCTCTACAGGAATGGCCTCTAAGGTCGGGACGCTGGTGAGATATTCTCTGCCTCGCTACTTGGCAAGCTTCCGAGTCTTTGTGAACTTGTTTGACGCCGAGGGCAGGGAAAGGTACTCTGCATTCTTTGGTGCAAATGTTCCAGACTCTGTCCTGTGTGAGCCGGGGACCGACCTGCGTGTGCTGGGGATAGGGAGTGGGTCAGGTGAGACCGCCATGTTGAACTTGTGACGTCCCAAATGCAACAGCACGGCTATCCATTCTTTCTTTCTGTATCTGTATCTGTATAGCCGGTATAACCGTCCATCGGCGTAACACAACAGCTTCTGTATCTGTATAGCCGGTATAACCCATCTTTCGGCGTAACACACCAGCTTCTGTATCTGTATAGCCGGTATAACCGCCCTTCGGCGTAACACAACAGCTTCTGTATCTGTACCTGTATAGCCGGTATAACCGCCCTTCGGCGTATATCACACCAGCTTCGCAGGCACGCGGCGCGGCGGCAGCTGGCTATATTACACCGACCGACTTGTTACACCTAACCCTTGAACATCTAACCTAAACATTGTTTAAAGCTATCTAATGATAATGCATATGCCCGTACTGTAGTTGATATCAGCGAGTTCCACTTTGCGATAGTTCTAGGAAAGAATGGATTCTTGAACACCTCAATCCTTGGTTGATAACTCTGGTACTTGAAGTCTTGGCTATTTCTTGTTCTCTTCTGGGCTGGTATCAGGTACTTAGTATATTTAGTCATTTTGTACATCACGCACAGTCTGGACATTTTTCTTCTGCCTTCCTCTTTTCTTCTGTCTTCCTCTTTCATGGCTATTCATACAGAGAAAATATGAATATACATGTACATGTATTTATATCTAAAGTCAATCTTTGCACTGATAATGCTTTTTTCTCTCCAGGAGACATTGATAGCGCCATTTTAAAGAAGCTCCTACAGCGACACAACAGTGTGTACAACAGGGTCGTGGAACCGTCGGAAGAAATGATCGGGCGATACAAGGTACTAAAGATGTGTAGTCATCAAGCGTGCCAGAGTATACAGTGCAGTTTTACGAAATACAGTGCAATTTTACGGAATACAGTACAATCGTATTTAGTATAAAGTGCAATTTTATAATTACGGAATACTGTGCAATTGCACCAGTAAACAGTGCAATTTTATGGAATACAGAGCGGCAATCGTAGTAACATTGCACTGTATACTAATACGATTGCACAGTATTCCATAAAATTGCACTGTATACTAATACCATTGTACTGGTAAACCATGTAGACCCTGGTGCGTGAAGACAGGAGCCTCGGTGCTGTGAAGTGTGACTGGCGCCAGCAGACAGCAGAAGAGTACTTCCAAACAAAGGGAGACACAAAGTTTCATCTGGTCCATGGGATCCACGTTCTGTATACTGTGGAAGACATGCACGCCACCTTGCGGAACATGTGGGAACAGGTCGCTGACGGCGGGTACATGATGGTCGCCATGGAATCAGGTGAGCTATAAACACCCCTAAATGACAAGAACTACCAGAGATACTTCTGTAATTCTTTATTCTATTTTTTTGCCTGAGGAATTGTTTCCTACTACAGTGCTTTGAATTATTTGTGCACGTGACGCCTTAAGCTTTTTAAACTCTATGTATAAATTAATCAAAAGTAGTATTTTATCTAATTTCTTTCCTTGACTCTCAGCAATCGATCGACTGACTTAGAAACAACCTGACAATGAAATGAATTATCGTTTTGTCCCTTCACATGAGTCCTGGTTACTAAACTCAAATAATGAGAAGTATATTGCAAATTCATGCCCGGAGGCTAATTGCAAATTACAAACATAAAAGAACACTGAAACAGAGTATAACATAACTAACATCTACATGACTTGATGAAAGGTAGTTGTCTAAAGCTATTGCTATGTCTAAAACTATGTCTGAAGGGTTTGACCTCTCTTTTGTAAACCATACTTCTCTTTTGTAAACAAATAATAAAACGGGATACTAAACTGTGCTATTCACATGTTCACAGATAAAAGTGACCTGGGAAAGCTGTATCACAAGATGTGGGGTGAGTTCGGCAAGGGTGACCGTTTAAAGACACCGTTTCGTACTTCCGGTGACGTCAGACAGTGGTTTGACGCAAGTGGCGTCAGTTACGTCACTGCGGAGTTTGGGTACAACATTGACGTCACGGAGTGTTTTAAGGAGGAGTCGGAGGCGGGGCAGTTGGTTCTCGAGTTCTTCACGTACACACCTTTTGTATCCAAGGAGCCAGAAATCCGGTCGACCGCGTTAGAACACATCCGCAGCAAGTCGTCGATGGTTGACGGTAAAATCTGGTTCGAGTTAGCCGACGAAATAATGGTCGCCTTCAAAATGGATCCGGGAAGAAGTGACCCCGTGTAGCAGTGTAGCATTATACATACATAAATGCATTATACATACATAAATGAACCGCTTCTGCATGCATAGTCACCCAGGCATTTGAGATTTTGATTTCTGGGTATTTGAGTTGACCAGTGCACAGAAATTGAAAGAACTATGTATGTATGCATGATATAATATGCCATTACACGACAATGTGACATTTGCAGATACTATATAAGGATAGAGTTAAAAGGCAGGGACTGAGAACACTTGTCTCTCATCCTTATCCATGTCCTATACATATTTAGATCATTTTGAGTTCTGTTCAGACTTGCTGAGCAGTTGGGAAGAACAAAGAAAATCTCACCTGTGTTGTTCACGCAGTGAACAAAAACCGTACAGAAAGTATCGGTCCTTCCGATTCCTATAGTCTTCAACTGCTATAAAAGACACGAGTACGATGTTTTTACGGACAGTCTGAACCTCACTACGTGTACACCTATACGTGCTCACATCTGCAAAACTATATGGGGACTATCAGTATGCTTTAAGGGAGGGAATATTAAAGTATCTGAGGGGGTAACAGGTGGGTATCTCTTGTTCGTTTTTAAGTTACGAGAACTGCAAAAATCATTCAGCAGCGGCCAGCGTTATATATGTGGTATACGCAGCAAAAAGACGAGTAGACTTGCATCTTGTGATTGAAAAATAACATCAGAAATATCCTCCTTCCATCAGCTGTAATGCACCATCCCCGATAATGTCGATATTCTTGCTATAGCAATAAAGTTACTTGGATAAAGATCTCTTTTTTCAGATCCTGGTACATGATGTAGAAGGAGGGATCCAAGCAGGTATACTAAAAGGTGTCTGATGCAATTTCTGGGAGCAAAACAAAAAAAATATATTCTGAATGATGAAAGTTGTCTGATATTGACTTTAACTGCCATTTCTTAGCACATTTAGTCATCATTTTGTACTCAGTACAAATACTGGAAGCGCGTTTGAAATATCCCCAGAAGACGCTACATGAGGCATCTCTTTATTTTTTGGTACCACCCATAAATAGCTAGAACCAGCCCCCAACATACGCAACAAGCAACCGTTTTCTGTCAGAGACATCGCGTTTTTGCCTCACAGATACGCTATGGTACATGTATGGGTTGATTCAACTTACTACATTTATAGTATATAAGAAGAATGACCAGAAATTGGTTGAAAATACAGCTTTGCCGCCCTGAAATTGCGTATAAGAGTAAATTCATGCGCGCTGGTGCATCCATATAACGGCAAATCAACATGGCCTGGATAAAGATCTCTTTTTCACATCCTGGTACATGGTGTAGATGGAGGGTATCCAAGCAGGTATACTTAGGTGTAAGTAAAAAGTTTACAACAAGGCTTTGTCTTTGGTCAATGCCATATTCCACATATAATGTGCCATATATATGCCACAAGAAATAGCAGCAGTGTTCTAGATCACTTTCAATAACTGATAATAACACATTTACATAAATCCTATTACTTAATTCTATGTTCCCCACCAAAATTATACCAGGATTACACAACGATAGTATTATCTTGAGTAAAGAAACTCTTTTTACACAACCAATTTTTTTATTCAGCCGACGTTTCGGTGACCGTCTGTCACCTTCCTCAGGGCAATTCTGACTGGTTCACTTTGCACTGCATCACAGGTGTCGCTGCTACAGATGCATTCCCAAATGTACAATGTTTACATATTTACACACATGCGTGATTACAGGGAAACGTATCCAAGATGTCGATCATGCCTTTCATACAGCTCATAAATAAGACCAAACCAAATGAAATCTTTAGCCCAGGCATAACCATGCAGGTATTGACCTGTGTCTCTTATATCCCACTCACTCACTCACTCACTCACTCACTCACTCACTCACTCACTCACTCACTCACTCACTCACTCACTCACTCACTCACTCACGCACTCACGCACTCACTCACTCACTCGCTCAATCACTCACGCACTCACACACGCACTCACTCACTCACTCGCTCGCTCACTCACTCACTCACTCACTCGCTCGCTCAATCACTCACGCACTCACACACTCACTCACTCACTCTGCACCGCATGCTCCAGGGAAAACATTGATATGAGCGATAAATATATTTACCTAATCGATAAAAAGCCTCTAACACTAAGGTTAGCTTCACTTGGCAGAGTCGTGATATCGTGGAAGTTATGTTACCGATATGGGTGAGGTTTGAGACTCTTTTTCTGGACCATTACTAGAACAGAAATTGTTCACTCGTCCGTTGCTGGACAACTTCCATATAGGATGCCCAAATCGTCCGCAATACTAGTACTATTACGTGCCACGGTAATGTTTTCGCATTGCTGTCCATACAAGCTATTTCTTGAAACAGAAGGGGTCGTTCCGACTTGGTCCGAATTTGCGGCACAGTAATGCGGTGCTGTGTTATGATTGCCTGGAACAGTTTCATTCTGATGCAGGTCTGTGTCTTCATACGCTGAATTTGCCGCTGCCATTCCGTACGGCCTTTCTTCCTCATCAGACTCAGTTTCATCGATGTGAGAAGCAGATTGCCCTTGATCCTGTCCCTCCTCAGTGTCTGCAGAATGTCCGGGTGTATCATCGTTACTGTACTGATGGACTTCTACTTGTGTAGTAAAGGCTGTGTCCGCAGCAGCGGTTTGAGTTTCGTCCAAGTGGAGACGTCGTAGGGAGAAAGTGTTCGGATCGAGTTCTTCCTTTATGCAATGATTTGCTATACTGGGTACGGCAGGAACACAGGCAACCATAGCCTGCACTCCCGCACGAAATGTCGCACTAGACGGGTTAATATTATTTCGGGTGGCACTGGACCGGTTTCTCCAACACAACACGACAGTGGGAATAACTACCAAAAGGAATTTAGCAACGGTAATGCCAACGATTAGAAAAATGTTGGGTCCAGGTACATTTTTGGTTTCTGAAGTAATATTGCCAGGAACACAAAACTTAGGATCAATTGACCCTGAACGAAACCCAGATAAACAACAGGACTTATTCATAAAAGTAGTGGGACAGTTGTCTAATTTGTTTTTATCTGTTGCGGTCGACGTCATTGCATTGGTCTCGCTGATGTTCTTATTCACACAAAATACAAAATCATAGTTTACTTTGTAGTCACCTTTGTCTGCTACATAGGTATATACGCCAGAGTCCTTTTCTGTAAAGTTTTTGATCGTAATGATGTCGGTATAGGAGTTGAGATGACGGCGTCCGCTCGGGGTGTTCCAGTAGTAGGAGTTAGCTGAATGTGACACTATATCAATAACGCTCTTTCGAGGTAAGGAAGCTTCCGTGTTTTTAATTACGTTAAAGCTGGAGGGATATATGCCGAAGTATTGAAACCTTTCTCTGACAAACAACTCTTTTTTAACGAAAGATCGGTTATTTCTAGTACGGGTTATGTAGTAAAAGCTTCTAGAAATGTCTATGTTTGAGTCATATGGACAACGCAAAGGGTTTCCTCGAAAATCGTAAGAAGTCTCTGGACGTACTGTTTTGATGTTTGTCGGTATCTGACTGATGTGGTTTGATTTAAGCAGGACCAAATAGAGATGTTTACTGGGGACTAACTTGATGGCCTCCATCGGAAATACAGAAAGGCGGTTTCCTGAGAGTTCTAGGACTTCCAACTTCACCAAACCGTAAAATGCATGTTCTGATATGTGAGAAATGTAGTTATTTGAGAGGATGAGACTGGACAACGTCGCGAGAGTAGAAAAAGCAAACTGGCGAAGAGAAACAATGTCATTTGTGTCAGCATCAAGGTGGATCAACTCACCAAGCCCTTGAAACGTTTGTGGTAATAAGCGTTTCACCTTGTTTATGTCGATAAAAAGGTATCGTATTGCAGGAGTTGTATTAAAAGAGGGGAGGTTGGTTATTTTGTTATTTGACAGCCTAAGTGTGTGTGTGTCAGACGCGATGGAGTCTACCGGGACGTGTGTTAAGTTTTGTCCTGAATAATCCGTGGTATAACCAGTGACTTTTCCCAAACTAGTGGTTAACAAAGTGAAGATGATGACGGTAGCCATGGATTCCATTTTGCGTCGCGATAAACAATGCGCTGTGGATACAAACAGAGAAACGGACGAATAATTACAACAAAAACAGTCTCGAGTGCATCAAACAAAAGGAAAAAAGCTGAAAAGGCTGAATTCAAACATGTTTTCTTTGTTGGTATGTGTCCAAATGAAATCCGGATGAAGAATGACTGGGAGCAATTTTGTTATTTGATGGAGGCACATAGAGACATCATGTGAGGCAGTGGGAGACGAATTTACCCACTTCGTCTATGATATGTGGGTTCTTTGATTTCAGTGATAAAATTGAAATTGTTTTCTCTTGGGGAGAAATAGTAGGAAAGTAAGAGTACATTTTGGACACGGTGGTAAATGATACATGTATATCAAGCAGCACAAAACAGCCATGCCACGCATGCGACTATGGTCGTAACAAAAGAAACGTTTGCTACATAAACTTACTTGAGTAAAGGATTAAGACTTCACTGGAACTGTAGCTGAGCTGATCAGTCGCGGGAACTAACGTTATAGACCTCGGCGCTTGGTTCTCTGCGTATGAGGAAGACTGCGCAAGAAACCGTTTTTCATTGAATATCACGTGTCGCATTGCGGCAAAATAAGTGTTCGTCATTGGTCAGCCATACGTTTGTTTTCTGATGCTATGAACTTAAATTTTCGCACGTAAGCAAAAAAAAAAAAATCTCAAGGTTTTCTGTGTTATGCCTATTGATGGAGCCTGGAAGGAACCAATCTGCAAATTAGTCTGCAATATTTGCCATCTATTTAATCAATAAATCTACCCATCTATTCAGACTGTTCTGGCAAGGACCCTACCTCAGCCCCAGTGACAGGCACTTCTTATGGAAAAAAAAGTGTCTTTGCCTATCCCTATTCGTCTATCAACAGAAATTTAAAGACATGCAGCTCTAAGAGTTTTGCTGTCGAATTTCGGGGTGGTTGATTTCGAGTCAGAAGTTGGAACCCTGGAAGAATAGCCCATAATGGGCCAAAGGGTATCTCAATAAACTGAAACTGAAACTGTATGACGATCTTCCACCACCACTTACACTCCATCAGCATAACATGAAAACCAGCGCAATTCTACAGTTTTGTAAAAAAAAAAGCGCCAAATCTGTTTAATGATGTCTTGCTCGGCAGATTCATAACCTTATGAGTTGTTCTCTTCAGGGTGTACGTAGGTTTATTCTTGAATGAACTTGTTGAGAGAGAAATAAAGACTAAAAGCTAAACAGCACTTTCAGCCAGTATGTGGCTTGTACACTCTCCGAGCGGCAAAGAATATGCACCTCGTGGATTATTCATGATAAACTGTACCACAGTTTCATTTCCGAAAGCATGCCTATCTGGTGAGATACTGGAAATAGGATCACGAGAGAGTATTAGATTGTCTGGCGACCCACCGCGGCACTGTCTTAATACCACATACCTTGTAGACCACCATCGCTGCAGCCCGAATGTTGCATGTTTATATTGAATCGTACTGACAGAAAAGGTCAATGACTTTGGTATAGTTTAGTGACATTATGGCCGATCATGAAACTTTACTAAGAACTGGGGTCGTGGGGTCGAGAGCAGCCGGCCTAATCTCCAAGCAGATCCCTTTCGGTGGCAAAAAGACAGCATCAAATTGGCCAGGCAGTATCCATTAGCCAGAGAAGGTCCGCGGCCACCGACGGGGGTTGGTGGGGGTCAGGACAAACAAAAAACGGCCATATATTAAAAGGTAACGATCATTACCCCACATCCTCTGCTTGGAGAGTAGAGACATTTATGAACTAATATCTCGTTCTCGTCTGTAAAATATATTAGATATCACCATTCGTGATCTTAACTGTTGCATTTTCGAAGTCAAAGTCAACTTAAGCCTGAAAACTTCAAGCCCCTTCGTGACACATTCCCGAAGTTCCCAAATTCGGTCATTTACCCCCTTTGGCGGCGGCCAGGAGCGGTACTGCAGGTTAGGCTCATAAAATATGTATCGTCCAAACTTGTCCAAACTCGTAAAAAAACGTGAAAGCATACGTATACAACGCGCCTGGCTTAAAGAATGACTCTTTCAAAACGTTTAAAAACACCAGTTGACTTGGGATAGATTTTAGAGGCGAGGAGCCCATGTTACACCATAGTAGCTGTAGAAGCGCCACCTATGTCTAGCTTTCCAAACGATGTCATCTACACATACGGCCTTGGTTCACGTGTTTTCAGCGGACACTGACGTTTGCGGAGACAGACAATTGTCCTTTTGCTCATTTCCGTTGAGATATTTTGCGATGAAACTGTCGTCCTTTCTCTATTAAGAAGGACACAACATACATAATCCACAAGGCCGCGTGGACACGTTTCTCCTAGGAGGTCCTTTTTGAACGTCCTTGGTTTCTCGTAACGGGTTCAGGAAAAATCTGCAGGGAGGTGTAAGGATGCAGTCCATTCGCTGTGTTTCCAACATTTAAGCATTCTTTTCTCGTATTTTTCACTTGTTAAAAATTCAAAGCAAGAGGACAATCATTTCAAAAGTGCGATAGTGAAAAAAGAGTATCGATTAAATCTGGCAAAAATAGAGATAAAACATTGCGACTGATCCTGATCTATATAATACTTGGAGACTAGATGAGTAAGCTAACATCACGCCACCAATTTTACCGCATATTGTCCAGGACTGAAAAATGTTACCACCTCGACTCTTTCAATACAGCTCCTGCAGTACGATACCTTTTTATGGACAAGAACAAGGTGAATTAAATATTACCACAAAACGTTTCAGGGACTACGTAAGCTAATCTACCTTCATGTGTTGGGGGTGGGTCGTCCGAACCCCCCTGGCTACGGCCATGGATACTGCACTTGTTTTTCCAGACAATAATCCTTACCCTCGGGTACTTCCTCCGTCTCATCACCATTGACTTGACCGCGGAAATGACACTGAGGTCCTTGTGGTATCAACAAGGAAATGTTACGAATAATCTACAAGGTGCGGATTCCTTGCCGCTGGGTGAGCACAAGTTGATTTCCTTTCTCTAGACTTTCTCAAGGCTCTTCAGGCTATTCATGACACCTTTAATGTATACTGAGCACTTTGTCCAATATGATAAGGCAGCTTTCTCGCCTTGTGTATATATAGGACTCACCAATGCTTTCATGTTGCGTATGCTTACAATTACCATCTTAGTTGAATGTAACAATGATTAGCACGCTCCTCACAGAGTCCGCTTTATACAGCCCAATAAATAAAATAAACTGGTTACATGTACATGTACCCTGCGCCCTTGTGTAAGGCGTCTCTGAACACACACGGCCTGTAGGGTAGAGTTTACTAAGGTCATGTGAACGTTTAACTTATCTAACTCCCGCCTGGTTAATGAGAGTCAAAGTACAAGTAAGCGTCAGGAAGGCGTTTGTAACAGGGTCTACTATTGACTCCTATTTCACACATGTGATTACATTGATTTTATGGTCACAACTCGATATTACGGAGGATCAAACAACCAGAGAGGACGCAAACAGTTTGAGTGAAAGATGTGGAGTGTGGGACTTCTACTTCTAACTGTACTTTCCTCAGGTACGTAATCGTTATGTTAGTGAATGTCAAACATGTCTCATATTAATAATTACCGTAATCTCTTGGCAGCGTCTGCATTTAAAAATCATATTTGTAATGATTTGGTCACCCATGTACACGTTGTGATTGTAGGGTACAATACCACCGCCGCTAAGGTGTTTATGATATGCCGTTGTTTAAACTACTTACAACTAGCTAGACTGGAATGGTGAGAGTACCTTGTTGTATTCTGACTGTTGAAAATTAAGTGTGCACATTTGTGTAAACTGTTGTGATCTGTTGGTTGTCTAAATGAATTTGCACAAATGCTTTGGCATAATCATTGATGATCAATTAAGTTGGAAAGTACAAATAACTATTTGAATGAACGTCAATCTATATGAATAAACGTTTAATGCTCTTGTTGCCGAGTTCAATGGCCAAGTGGGTAGAGTGTTCGCCTTGCATTCGGTAGTTAATTAGTAAGTTCGATCCCAGGTCAAGTTACACCGACGACTTTTAAAATGGTACATACTGCTTAGCACTCAGGCTCAGCATTTGGGAAAGAGTATGGTAATTAAAAACACTTGACTACTAGTGGACCAGCCCCCTATTGTAGTGATTACACTACTGTGTGGCACAAGGGCTTAAGTGAACCGGAGATAGGCACCGACATAGTGCAGGAAGGACTTCAACTTTCTAACTTTAAATGCTGTTGTGTCCATAACACGCTGAAACATTTTGTTATGCGTTTTTGCCGACAATATCAATACTAGTACCAGGCTACTCCAGTATCAAACACGTGCTACCAAACTTTGTACTCCAGCACTGATTATTTCAAGGCCGCAAATCACGAGGTTGTTTGACAGCAAACAAACTCGATTCTTTAGAACCTTGTAATCGTTGGATGATCAATACATCAAAATGTTTCCTGAGCATATCATACTTCTACTGTTGTTTTATCGTTGTTAAATTCAGACGTTTATAAAGAGCAGCATATTTTGTTGTGAATTTAGCTACTTGTACGTATAAATACGGTACGGCAAAGATTGCTTGGCAAATATTTGAGTTGAATAGTGATACATTCCTTTATATCGACGTGTAAGTATGTAAGTATAGGAGTTTAAATCACCCGGGAAGTGATTTATATGATCAGGGGACGACGTATTAGACCATGTTAGGATACAATGGCATGCAAAACGGAGTGTAATGAATTACCTCTTTCTTTAATGACTGGACAAAATTAAAAGTACAGGGTCTACTACAGGGTCTACTACAATTAAGATTGAACAAAGCTGAATACATGTATGAACAGCGAATAAATCATCCTACGATACTTACTGAATATATGTATGCGACAAACTACTTATATGTCAGTGGCAAAGGAGGTTTAACTCTTCTCTATCATGCAGTCTCTAAGATTTAAACATTCGTGTATGTATTTCCCTATTTGCACACTGTATGGACTATCTCCTCTTAAAATGTATTTCAATTTATTTATTGGATCTAATATATTGATACCAGTTGAACAATTAATACAGAAAAGAGATAGCACTATAGGCGCGTATCGTTGTAAAGTGAACAATCCATACATGATTCTAAAACCAAAGATCATCAATGTTTTCTATTGTGTCTCCTTTCATCTTTGAATCAAGAAAAGAAGTGATATTTTCGTCATAATAAAGATTCATCACTTGTGTTTATATTGTTAATTTTTTCATGGTTAGTTGTGATTCAGTGTAATTGTATTTCAGGATATCCAGAACAGTCGGCAGTATTAAACCCCTACTGATAAATAGAATAGCAAACACCCCAACCCCCTCCTACGGGATATGTAAATAGTCGGCAGTGTTTAACCCCTACTGATAAAATCGTAAACGCGCAAACCCCTCCTATACATGTTTGTCTAAGGTCGTTGTCCCACGATCTATCATACAGATTGTTTGTACTGGTCGATATGCCAAACATCATGTGGTAAGACATCGTCTACGGACTACGGACATGGACGCTTTGAAACTTTGAAACATTAGCGGTGGGCCCTACCCTGGAAATCCAGACTCGCTGTCCGGGCCGCAAAAGCCCTTCGCCCGCTGGTGTAAATTACCGCTACGGGGGAGTCTAGCCCGGGGGGAGGTTGGCTGGCCAGCCAACTCCCCTCGGGCTCAACTCCCCCGTAGCGGTAATTTAGGCAGGCGGGCGAAAGGCTCTCGGCTGCCGAAGGAAAACGGCTAACGGCCCGATACTAGTTTGGCATCCAGGGTAGGTGGGCCCTGGCATTCATTCCCAAATATACGTACAATACATATACATACAATACTTGACAGAATTACTAGACAATATCTACCACGTATTTACAAAGTTACAATATACATTTATTTAAAAATAGACAGACAATCCTGTTACACAAGTGCTAGTAGTATAACCATAGTGCCGATAGACTCAAAGTTTGCCCAGGACTCATTGTCAGAGCCATGATGTATTATTCCCAAGTGATCGCTTGAACTCGATCAATATGACAGTTGCTCAATTTTCAGGCGAGATATATATTGGAGGTTAACCCGTAATCCTTAGTAGCCACTCCAGCTCAAGAACATTTTTGAAATAATTTTGTTAGCATTAGCATTTTTTAATGTCTTGGGGTGGTGGGACTACGGCGCACTGATATGTCAACTTTGTGTATTTAAATGTTCATTGTATTTTGTTGTGTGGCGCTGTTAATATAAGTTTAATATAAACTTAAGTGCAGCGCCACACTGTACTTGTTATGTTTTGATGAATAAAAAAAAAAAATCAGGCGAAAAATAAGTGTGACCCTTGGTCAACACAGTTATATAATGGTTTATTTTAAGTGAAATATTACAAAACAACAGTTGTCACCTGGCAGCCGAGGATGAATAGAAAACAAAGACGTACGTTTTGCTTGGAAGTGGTACTTATCACTAAAAATCACAAGCTTCTAGTCTCACAACCAAGATTGAAATAAATTCAATGTGTGTACTCATAATTGTATTGTATTGTATTGTACAGTATTTGATGTTTAATGTATGATATTTGTTTATTGTATAATATTTCATGTTAATAATGTTCAATATTGCAACCTGTTTTGTATTCATTATTGTAATCTGTATTTTACATTGTACATGTAGTGTTGGGAGGACAACTTGTAAAGGTGTCGATGCACCTGTTTTGTCCTCCCTTCCACCTGTATACCTGTACACGTGGTGAACTCAAATAAACAAATAATAATTTTTTCTACAGCCTGTGCGCAGAATTGTCCCGATGGCTGGTTATATTACCGGCAGTCCTGTTACCGCATAGTGGACACCAGTACGACCTGGCAGCAGGCTAGAACAGCATGTCAGGCATTACAGGCAGACCTGGCTAGCCTAGCGACTGGACTGGAACAGGTGAGACAAAAGTTCTATTTTAGTATCCGCTTTTTTATCTGTTGCTTCATGTTTACTGTTTATTAGATTGATTAAATCACGTTTACTTAGTGATGAAGCAAATATTCCTGCCCTTTTTTTTTCTATGGCCAGTCCTTCTTTGAGATTGAGCCATATCTTGAAAAAATCAAAGTGTAGGATTAAAAGAAGGCTTAAAACGCAACTCCTATGGACGAAGTAACCTTGTTTATGAATCATGGTAGATAGTTTTCAACAGCGCCTGGAGTGCCAGAGGCAGGTGTCCAGGGGTATAGGTCATGTTAAATCATATTAACTAGTAAGCCTAAGCTTTGGACGGATAATCCGAACTTTCTCTGTAGTTAAAGATGCCCTTTTTTAAAATGTCTTTTTATTTTAATTTTTTTGATGCTGCACAGCGTCTTATTTACTTATAAAACAACTAATAACAACCAGTAATAACAGTTTGATCTCTTTTAAGTGGTGATGATTTTGAAAATTCTACCCAGAAAGGAATTACGGCCATGGTGAAATGTATATACAGCAAAGATTCTTGTACTGGGGGATACTACTCCGCTGAAGGGATACCAAGTAACCTGTGTCCTGCTGTAGGTATGGATGGGTATCCAGATCAGAAACATCAATGGCAATGGCCACTGGATCGGACTTCACGACATCTCTCAGGAGGGGACATGGCAATGGACAGACGGAACACCGTACAGTTCTCCCACGTGAGCATTTATCCATTTTTTCTCTGCTCGTTTTATGACAATATGAACAAGAAGGGAAAATGTATCATTTTTGGCATGACAGGTTTATGTAAGCTTTATTATTAATTACTTGGCTACTGTATAATTGTTACTCAAAGGATCATCTGCCTACCTGCCTGCCTATAGCTATGTGCACAGGCCAGGTTACCTGGCCCCTTGCTCCCCTCCGTCAGGTACTTCCAGCCAGCTCTCTCAAGGGCAATAGTCTCTGCTACACTTAGGGTAATCCCAGTGTCACTCTGGATCTGGTCTTTCCACCTCTTGGGTGGTCTTCCCCGGGGTCTAGAGTTTTGGAAGTCCTGGTGGTATGCCTTATAAACTATGGTGTTTACTGGTCTTCTCATCCCATGCCCAAACCATCTGAGCCTTCTAGTGCGTATCCTGTCAGTGATGGTTTGTTCTGCCCCGAGTCTTGACCGGATTTCTGCATTTGGGATGCGGTCCCGCAGGGTGATGCAGAGTATCGCTCAAAGGATCATCACAAATTCTCGCTATCATTGCGTCACCACTACGCATGATTCTGTTAAAATATTTAAATTAAAAAAAATGCTTAACTGCTGCCAGTGCAGTCAGCTCATAATGATATGAAAATATATATTTTTCACATCTTCTTGTCTTTTATAATACACTTTTGTAGAAGTTGGAATCCAGGAGAACCTAACAATGCAGGAGACGAGGACTGTGTGGAAGTGTTACAGGGGGGCGGCTGGAATGACCATTCCTGTACTGTACTTCGTCCGTACATCTGTGAGAGATCTGTGGGTGAGTTGGAACAATTAACCCTTAAATATACAGTAGACTCATTTCTCAAGCTAATTATAACCGACATCTTGCACACAGCAGTAGTCGTTCTTCAGTAAGACATCCGCATAGTACCTTTTTAGATCTTTTATTCAGCCTGTCTTACTGAGGGACGACTGCGTGTGCGAGATGTCGGTTAGCTTGAGGAATCAATCCACTCTACTGTATAGTATTGCGTTAACCTTTAAATATTTAGTCTTATGTTGTGTGGAACGTATGGTATGTTTTGCTTAAATGATTTGCATATAATATCAAATTTCTTTCTGGCACCATCGCCGTATTTGAAGCATTGAATCATACAGTTCATCATCTAATAACATTTAGTATGACGCAACTACTAGCACAAATAGTTTAAAATAATCCAGCAGTTGCAATGAGGCTATCACCTCATTAATAGCTATTTTATGTGTCAGTAGCTTTACACCGTAGGAATACAAAGTACCTTATATTCCTTCCAAAAGACATTGAAGATGTTTAGGTGCTGGAAAGTTATATTCAGGAAAAACGCACAAGAAATTAAATTATATTTACTTGTAATTTTATGTATGAAATTCTGAAAATAAAATACTTTTTATAACCACCTAGCAAATGAAAGTTGCTTTGTTACCGCAGATAGCGAGTGTGACTACGGCTATGAGAAGAACGGCGACCGCTGCTACAGGGTGGGTGACGTCAGCATGACGTGGTTAGACGCGCGTGCGCGGTGCAGGAGAGAAGGGGGTGACGTCATATCTATCTACAACATGACAGATCACGTGTATGTCGCCACCAAAGTGCGGTCTTTAGGTGAACCCCTGTGGATAGGGCTGTCTGACGTGGTAATTTCCATCATTGTTATATTTGAATCTTTATGAAGTACTCTTATTGACAGTTTTTTTGCAATGATTGTAGCATCACTGAAGTATGTACGTATCAGAGATATCAAGGTGCTCAAACATTTTTCATAAGGCCTAAATATCACATTAAATAAAATATTCTATAAAATAAAGATATAACGTTAAACAATACATATATCGAATTTTTAAAATGTTATCGTGGTCTCGGGGTATCCATTTGATTGATAAGATCTGACGTTAAGCCTCTACGTTCTTTAATCTATACATTATACTTTGAGGTTCGTGATACCAAATCATTTTTCTTACATGGTTGATTTATGGTATTATACAATATTCTTCCTTTCACAGGACTCCCCAAGTATCTTACACTGGAGTAATCCAGCTGATGCTGTAGACTTCACATTCTGGCAGCCTGGGGAACCTGTGGGCAAGTGAGTTACTCTGAAACACTGCAAACACCAGTACCACTCCACCTAGCAATTTACTTTCAAACTGCAGAGGCAGATGTTTGTATAGAGATAGACATCTTCGGGAAAAAACCCCAAGAAATTCGAGATTTCTCCGGGCAGAATATAATGCATAACGTTCACAACAATTGATGATTATTTTACATTAAATGTTACCATTTACTCTGATAGCTTAGAAAGATGGGTGATATCAATGGAGTATTATCATAATACACAATACAGGCTTAAGTTAAAACGCCCTTAAAGTAGTGTGGTATAGCACATTAGTCGTTGAAGAACTAGTTCCAAAACTGCAATTAAAGACTGACCATGTGTCCATGTATGACTGATTGCAGCTGGTCGTGGCCAGGCGCCACATGTGTGGAAGTGATCGCTAGCGGACGGTCAGCTTACTGGACTGCTGTCAGGTGTGGAAACGAGAGGAAGTACATATGTGAAAAGGGTCTATATGGCAAGTATACTTAAAAATTTTGGAATAAAGTTATGCTGTAATCAGTATCGCTTCATTTTTGACAGACAAAAATGTCTGAAAAAATCTTCATGTCAATCAGTAAAGATACATTGTATAGATATATTGATTTCTGTCCTGTCTATATTGCTTAGACATATTTTTGCTGCATCGTATACTAGAACTGTTTGTTGTTGTCCTGCTGTAGGTACCTGTCCAGCCGGCTGGTTCGCTAACGAGAGAAGTTGTTATCAGTTCAACACTGTCCCACAAACACAGTGGCTGGAGGCAAAACTACGCTGTGAAGCACAGGGAACACAGCTGGTTACCATCTCCAGGTAATATATTTATATTACTAGAATTCTTCATACAAATTGTGTATATTTTTATCTAGCATAAATCTTATTAAGGAAAGGAAACTAAAAGAATATGATCTCGATTTAGTTCTTTGTATCTGTGAAATTCCCCTAGCTCTTTTCGACAAGCACAATGAACAATGCGCCACGGCTTAACGTCCCGTCGACGTCCTAACGACTGCGAACCTTTCCTTTAGCGTGCATGTCCGGTGTGTCCTCCGTTACAATGATCTAAAGGGTAAGTAAGAAAATATGATTAGATAAATATGATTAGATAAGACTATTAACTTGTCTTTCAATGTTCCAGCCAAGCGGAACAGGATTTCATCAACACCATGTTCCCATCCCTACAAGCGGGTGGAACAAACTATCTATGGATTGGCCTATCTGGTAAGGAGCAAATTTGCCTCATATTTTCTATTATTGCTTTAATCAATGTAAATAAAACCTGATAATACAATGTAGATCTGAAATAGAAAAAAAAATAAACACCGTTCATAAAGGCTCCTTATTCAGAGTCTCTTTTCTGGAATGTTTATGAAGTGGTGAAAAAGCAACGCAGTTTCAAAAGTTATTTTGAACGCATTCTTAAAAAAATATTTTTCACGTATTTTTAAAGACATCCTTTTCTCGAACGTTTATAAGTGGTAAAAAACCCGTTTGGTACCAACACATTTTCAGTTACCTACAATGATACTTAATGAAATTAACATATCTAAAAATCAATTTTCTGTCGGTGTCAGATATTGTAGATGACGGAGTGTTCCGGTGGCCGGACGATGACGTAACCTATACCAACTGGTTACCCAGCAACCCTAGTGACAGACCAGACTATGTGGACTGTTCCACTATATACACAGGTAAAGGGACACATTTAAAATCCTTTTAATTTTACCAACCACTACATTGTGTCAGTCAACTTCACAGAAATAGATTAACATGATCTAATGTACATTATACAGGTTTAATAATTGGTAAACATACTACATACTATAGATGTTTCTCAGGACGTACTCCTTGATTAATTATTGGCAACAATCATTTTCAATAATCTTTTACTTTGTCATGGAAGTTGTCATCTGTGTTGGTAGTTACATTATGTAAAGTTAAAACTATTGCTCCAACACAAAGAACACGGTTTACACGATACATTAGACCCAGTGTTGATGTCACACTTCAGAAAAGCCACGTAACAAGTCTCACTGGGTCAGTCTATTGAAGGAGACCAAAGTGACTGGTCGAACTAAGTGAGAACGAGTCTTTGTTTTAACTTTCATTTACTTTTGGCGACAGGTGCAAATGAAGGATATTGGGAAACCAGAGAATGCTTTGAACAGCATGCCTATATCTGTGAACTCCCACAAGGTAAGGTATAATATATATAAGAAATACACTAGTCATGGTTAAAATATTGCTGTCTCTGATTTTTAATTAACGAAATTAAAGAATAAAATTGATTATAGTTTAGGTTAAGAATGATGTAATTTTATCATGGAAATCAAGACCACATTGAACTTATATTTCAGTGCATTCTAAACAGCTGACATTATGTATTCTGAGTGAATTCCAAATGTTCGGGCCCATCTTGATGACCGGTTCATTTGAGGGCCAAATGATATTCTTGGCATATATTCTATTCTTTAGATAATGATTCTGTTTCTTATTCACTACAGGAAAAGACTTGGTAACTGCAGGTAATTATAATAAGCCTTGTCTCTTTATAGCAAATAGTTTAAAATGACAGAATGTTAATTAACTTATATTACATATTTATGATAGATTTTGAGGGCTTTAGTTATACACAAAATAGTAAAATTAAATGTACCATTACTTTACTGATTCCCGATTGTAAATGTTCAGAACAGATATCTATTGATGTGTGAGTTTGATTATCATTACGCAGCCTCTATCTGTATTACAGAATGTAACAGACCACTCGGTCTGGAGGCCTATGCCATTGGTGATGCTCAGCTGAACGCCTCTGCTGCCCTGGACCTGGACCATCGTGCTCAGCGAGGACGGCTGAACCTCAGAACCGACGCCAATGGCGGAGGGGGCTGGGCAGCAGCTGCAAGTGATGCCAATGAGTGGATAGAGATTGGTGAAATATTTCAAATCAAAGTTTGAATACAAGAGTCCTCCCCGTAGCCCCATAGATCTAGAATAACTAGAACTTTGGTCATTTTTGTCTCGTTCATTATGGAAATAAGGTTGCAATTAGCATGATCTATTTTGATTGGTGGTCTTCTCTGCTCTTCTCAAATTACATAAAGTGATGTTACATATGTCCCAAGAATAAAATGCCCATCATTTTTCGCTTCACTAAGGGATCATGTCATTTTTTATCAAGTTAATGATGCCTATCTATTAATGTTCACTAAAATATAAGGACCATTTGTCATGAAATCATATTTGTGACGTTTGTATGTGAGAAAAGAAATTAGAGACAGCATCAGTACCGGTAGTTCATGTGTTGACGTTTCTTCATGCTTTTGTTGCAGACTTGCTATATCCCACCAAAATGACTGGCCTGGTGACCCAGGGCACGTTTGACCTGGTACGCTGGGTGACTACATATGAAGTGATGTACAGCTTGGATAGACAAAACTGGGGGATCATCACGGGCATAAATGGGGCGCCAAAGGTACGCATCACATTGCACTACTGCATTGACGCCTAGTATCACTTTGCCCTGTAACGTTATGTAATGTATGAAATTTCTATCCTTCATATCTCAGATTAATGCTTTAGCACGATCAAGCGACTAATATATACTGGATGTGAGCATGTAGGCTCATCTGTGCTGCTACATTCCATAATGAAGTTAGTACTGTCGTTCAACTCAGTCGAATTTTCGATCGCCGTGACATCCGTCGACCTTCTTCAGGTGTGAAGTGATTCAATTATCCTGAACACGTGACCAGGGAACACGTGACTCGAGTAATAAATCGTAATTGAGTCACGTGTCCCCAGGTCACTGCACCACTCCAGTCCTGAAGTCCTGAAGTCGACGGGTGTGCGACCGAAAATTCAAGGTCAACGAAATTACTGACTTCATTGCATACTGGATGTACCTAAAAATGTAAGCTCTGAATCTGCTATCTGCAACTTGAAGCCTTTGTCCCATCAGGTATTCCAAGGAAACACCGACCAGAACACGGAGGTCCACACCTACCTGGATACACCTATTGTCACACGGTTTGTCCGTGTCTGGCCCAAGACCTGGCACAATGGTATCGGGCTGAGGCTGGAGCTTCTTGGATGCAGCTCCAGTCGTAAGTAGTATGATTATATGGATGTCAAATAGGTTAAGAATGTCAAATAATGTTTAGACCTTAGAACAAGTAGTATTAGTTGATTTATGCATAGTCTTGTACGTGGGTCATTATGGGTTCACCACACCACGAAGTGGTGGTGAACCCATATTGCTTTTTCTGATGTTTCTTCTCCTCCTTCTTCTCCTTCTCCTGCCACTTCTTTAAATTGATTCAACTCCTTCATTTTTGGGCGAAATTACCTGTAATTACGTATAGAGGTAGAGTGGGTAAATACCCTTAGGCGTTTTTTAAATTTTTTTGATACAAGCTTTTACAATCGTTTTATTTGCTTTTTAGTGGTCCCCATAGGAAAGTACTGTGGGGGCGTACGCGCGTGACGTAATAAGAAAGGAATTCGGGGGAAGGCCCAAATATGGGCATACAAGCAGGTGTGGTCATGTTTGCAGATGTGGCTGTTGATTGGCTGTTGGCTAATTAATTTATTTACTACCATTTTCACGTACCAGCGCAGCTGGTCCACGCGGTCTCGGCCGTGGGCCATGATACTCTGATACTGGATACCGATTCGTGTGATTCCTATAAACATTTCACCTAACTACGAACTAGTTGGAAGAATTATAGCTGCATGGATGCCTGTATATGATTTTAACAAACACTGAAAATCTGACGCAAAAACTGGCAGATATTTTGCTCTTCTCTGTTGGAACAACGCAAGCGGGAGGTCAATGACCTGCGCCCCGCGAGTACTGTAAACAACGGTACGTAATGTGTATCGTCGGCGCACGCGCGCGCGCCACGGTATCAACAATTTTCCACAATCTTCACCGACTAGTATTATATATTCTGTTATCGATTTCTGAAGAATCACCAAAATTGTAGAGTGTATCTCCTAGAAAGTCCCTTACTAGTACTTGAAGCGATCGTTACCGCCATGTTGTTCACTTTATATGACATACAATGCAGAGAGTAATGGAAACGTGTCCAGATAGCTCGGTTGGTAACGCGCAGGGCTGCAAGTCCAGACATTACGAGTTCGAACCCCGGTACACTGGATATTTTTAATTATCCTTTTTACAATTTTTAACAATTTTAACATTTTTAACAATTTCAACAATTTTAACCATTTTAACCATTTTACATTTTAACAATTTCAACATTTAATTTTAACATTTTCGTTTTAATATCCATTGCTTTGCTTTTAACATTCCAAAACTGATTGTTCTTACTCAAGAATTTCAATAACTTCGAATGTTAGTCTTTTGTATTTTTTCAACATACAAACCAAAATCACTTTGATGTTGTCACAAAAGTAACATCTGTGCGCGCATCGGTTTTCGTTCATTTAAAAACTACAAGTACAAAACATCTGGAAACTAAGCAAACATACTCAGTAAATTGATTGCTGTAATTCCCGATTTTTTTTCACTGTACCGCAACGCAAGCGGGGGGTCAATGTTCACGGTTTTCACTGTCACCTCTGTATTGTGAACTTATCATTACAGTTAGGAAATAATTCCTGGACTTTCTTTTTCCTGCAACTGTCACCACCGTGAATATATACTTCCGTGAACATGTCCATTTTTCTCAGGCCGTGAAAATTTTGCTTCCGTTAGTAGTAGTTACAATCTCGTCAAAAGTGTAAAGTAAAGCTGTCGAGATTTAAAGTGCGTGTCGTTGTATCTTTGTAAAAAAAAAGGGAGATAATTGCCAAGTGCCAGTTTTGTAAATACCTGTCGAGATTCAAACAGCTTGTCCTTGTATAATTGCAGTATGATTTATTTAGAATCTCTCATTTTTGTTTGGGGAAGGGTATGGAGTGAAATTCCTACATTTGCTCCGAAGCAAATGTTGGCCTTTCTAGTTTAACGATTCAGCTTCTTCATTTTACGGCTAAGGT